GTATCTATTTTATGATCACTATTTTATTTATTGAATTGTCTATTCTTGCTGTTGTTTATGTTAAAAAAGTGTTATGTTTGTAATGATAAGTCTGAGTGGTCTGTTTACTGATTGTTGTATTTGTTCAAATAATTGTTATGGGCAGGTTACAATATAAAAAAATGTTTGTCATAATCATGTCTTGTGACTAATTGACAGGAGTTTTACTTTCAAACTGTAAGTGTATTTTACTTAGTTACAGTATAATGCAAATACAATACAAATTAAGCCATGATTTGATTAATTATTATTTTAAACCAAGATTTAGAATAATTATCATTTTGATCGGTATGGTAATGCGTGACTGGGCCTCGTTTCACTTTATGTTGAAAGAATTGGGCCCCGAGGTCAAAAAGGTTAAGAACCCCTGTCTTGATTATATTGAATAAATTGTCCCACAAGTCTTTTTATTTCCATGTGTTGCTTTTACATTTCTCTGTCTCCTGTATTTACATTTTCTTATACTTTTCTGCCTCATCGTGCAAATATGGTGGGCGGTCCTTCTTGGGTAAGCTGCTCTCCTATTGGTCAACAGCCAGGAAGGAGCAAGACCTATGTGCAGATCTACTGTGAATTCTTGTGCCATAGATGTAGATAAAGGCTAGATAAGTCATGCCCGCTGTTGGCCAATGGAGACCGACATCCTCACACGGCGGCCATCTTGAGATAGGGAGCTCGTCCACTCTTAAAGAGTAACTTAACCCAAAATTAACTTTTTTTAGCTGGTAAACTGTCTAGAATGTGTCTAAGACCCAACACTTATATTCCTGATTTAAACTAGTGATCTTGTGAGCAGCTGCAGCTGTATGCTTTTATTTTTTTCTGTCAGGCTGTCGCGGAGCTCTCCACCTCCTCTGTCCGAGGCTGGTGTGGTGTGAGGCAGACAGCTCAGCCGAGGCTGCTGGAGCTCAAGGTCCTGATCCGCGGAGCCAACACGAGTCAGTCCCAGACTGAGCTCTCTCTCTGCCTCTGGTGAGGAGAGGGGTGAAAATCCTCCACCTCAGACCGTTCAGAGAGGTAACTATCTGTGTCGCTGTGGTCAATCTCCATTTAGCATCAATTATGCTAATGCTAGCTGTCACATTCTCTCGTCCTGGCCACACCTCCGCTTTCTAACCCCCCTACCCACTTTGATGCATTTTTCAAATTTTGCCTTGGGGCGGAGTTATCTTTTCACAGCGGGGGATAACATACACTTTAACATGAATGTGTGTGGTGTATTTACTATTGAAATAACCATAACTTGGTCAATTTTGATTGGACTTTCAAGCTGATTTTTTTTTTTTTGCTGTAAAGGTGAGACATGTTATAAAATTGCATACTTATAATGGACATTCATATAATAATTACGTTATTTTGATAAGTAAAGTAATATCAATATACACAGAATATATTTAAGTTATTTTTACAGGAATTTACAAATAAAAATATAAAGCAAAATTATACACAAGTCAAAAACAGTACAAAATAGTACTAGCAGTGGAAATTAATATGAAAGAACCCTGTTTTATTCGTTTTATGGTTGTCTCGTTTGTCTCTATGTGTGTCTCTGTGATGGACTTGCAACCTGTCCAGGGTGTACCCCGCCCCTCGCACTGTGACTGATGGACATGGGCACCAGTGACCGACGCGACCCTGAAAGGAAGAAGCGTGTGCAGAAGATGGATGGATGGATGGATATTTTTTCCCTAGACATGCAAATATTAGCCAGGGTTCGACAAATCCTATTGCCCGACTGCCCGGGGCAGGTAAAACCCATTGTCGGGCAGGTGGGTGTGTCCCAATGCCTGCCCGACCGGGCAGGTAAACAATTTCTTTTATTTTTTTTAATAGGGCCATTTATTCAAAATATTCTGAAAATAAATGAAGAAATATGGCGTTTTAAAACACGTAAAGAGAACAGTCAAAATGTCTCCCTCCCGCTGTAGAAAAGTTACTTCTTGCAGTCGTGTCGCAGAATCACAAGTTCCTCCCTCCTTCCTGCTGCACATCGCGCAGAGAGAAGCTTTAACAACCGTGGCTTTTTTCACACCCGTGTTTTCAGAGGAAAAAAAATGTTTTTTTTATGTATTGTTAACCCGCAGAGATGAAAAGATATGTGGACATTCGTTCAGTCATAAATCCATCTTCCTAATGTCGGCTTCTGCTCTGATGAAGATGATGATGAAGATGAGCTCGCAGCAGCAGCGGGTCAGAAGCTCATTGTATGGCAGGCTGATCTATCATTTATTTGGCTTCACCACACTTATATTCTAGTTATCTGAAATTGTTTTATGACTAAATTAGACAATAGTTATTTAGGATAAAATAATAAAATGTTTTCTTTTATTATTTTTGTTTTATTTACCTTTTTTTTAATTTGGAGAACTTTCCAGCTTTTAAAGTTTAAAACACAGGCAAACACCCACACAGCAGCAAAATAAATAAATAAATAAATGGTACCTTGCCAATGGTGGCAGGCAATAGTCACATGAATTATAGTAGTTATTTATATTTAGAGCTGTAGCTTTACTAACATTTTCTTAAGAAAATGTGCTGATGTCAAAAGTCAATAAAGTTTTAAAAACAGATTTAGAGTCAGAGTTAGTTTGGGGTATAAGTTGAGGATGACACAAAAGGTTTGATCAATATCTGTAGAATTTGCCATCTTGAATCAGGTATCCTTGAAAAAACAATAAGGTGCATCCAAATGGTTACTTTCTGAAAGCTTCATTAAAATCCATCCATTGGTTCACGATATGCTTTGCTAACATCACAAACATGGGAATGAAAAAACAGTGTACCTTGTTGATCAGCGTGGGCACTAGCTGATTCTCCGCCTGTGCCTACAAGTCCCACACTGTTCTCCTTTGTGGAAACAAATCCATATCCTGCTGCTTCTAGAGAAACACTGTAAGAGAAGAAACTTCCTGTATCACACCATCAGAATCCAGGCTTCGATGAAAGTCAGGCTGATAAAACACAAACTTACCTTGGTCGATCTGCTGATGAATCTGTTACGGGAGGATCTGGCAGGTGCTCGGGTGCACTGTCCACCCCCTCCCTCACAGATGAGACTGGGATTTCAGTCAGGGAGAGGATGAAGAAAGGTTCATCAGGATCTGAAGGCACTTCTGTTGGCAGGACTGAGGGAGCGAGACAGAGAGACATTATAGTCCAAATCCAAAAAGAAAAGACTGTAAAATTCAAACCAAGTGACATGAGAGGAAGAAAAACTTGATTGACTCACTCTCTGATATGAGTGGATAACTATGAATCCCCTCAGAACTTGATGTTGATTCATTCTGAGATTAAAAGAATCAAAGGGAGATGTTTGAAGTATAAAAGCAGCATGTTTTCATCAGTATTACAGAACATTTCTGATCAAAGCAATGCGTTGGTAAAGTGTTCTGTTTTTACTAGACAGCAGTGCTTCTCAACATAATTCACTCAGACAAGTTATGGCACAGACACCTTAAATAATATAAACCCAGAATTCATTGAAGGAATTCTTGTTGCCCAATGTCTTTCATGCAATAGTTATAAACTACGAGTATCAAGAAATGACAGAGTTAACCCAATCTCATGTGACCAGGTAAGGTAGTATCTCTCTGGGTTGTGATGGAAGTTGAAAAATAAATACTTGCTCATCATTTTGTTGTCCATATCATGGTCACAGCTGCTTGTTTTGTACCAACCTTGGCAGCCACCTCACATATTTGTTTGACTCTACACTTTTAAAATGTACATAGGTACATCTGGACCTGTTTTTAAGTAATTAATATTTATCATCAGGGTTTTAGACCTGAAAATTCTGGAGACATTCACAACCTTGTGAAATATCATCATGACAGGTAGATGGGACACTAAGATCTGATCAGAGGACAAAAGACAACAGACTGACAAAGACAGAGTAAATTTTAAATAATACCTATAAATCTGAGCGAGTTATAGAAAATTTAGTTTGCTAATGTCAATTAGCCGTTTTGAAGTATTGACTCAAAAAGTGAACGACCTGCAAGTGTACGTCTATGTTTACTTTAATCTAAATCAATCAAGTGGTTTATAAGATCTTCTGTTTTAAAGGGGCAATTTCATGTAAAATCAACTTTTTTGAGTTTTATATCATGTTATAATGTTATACTCTCATAAAAAACATGCCCAAAGCACACACACACACCGCCCATGACTCCTGCAGGCTCTCGGGTGAAAGTGAAAGTGAAACTTAAAATGTCTGCGGAGCTCCTAACATTAGTTCTCACTCAGTGAAGCTCTTTTCAGATTAAAAATACCTTTGAGGAAATTTATTTTCAGATGCCAAGTAAACTGCATCATGGCAGCCCCCCCTCCCCCCGCAAGCGCGACCCCCGCACCGAAATGGGCGAGACAGAAGCGTAAGGTGGTTCTTAAAGAGACAGAGGCCAATTTCAAGGCGTTTAGAAGAGGAAGTGATGAGAAGATAAGATTATTTTCTATTTAAACATAAAAACAGAATTTTAATAACAACTAAAGGTGACATAGATACTTTATTATGGTATAGTATTTAAATATATGCCTGAGAAACACATAATATTGGCCCTTTAAGACAGGCAACACCTACACGCAGACAAACAGTGGCAAAAATAATGGTACTTTGCCATTGATGGAAGGCAATAGTCACATGAATTAGTAGTTATTTATTATTTAGAACTGTAGCTTTATTAACATTGTTTAAAAAATTGTCAAAAACAAGCATTGGGGATTCTCCCCCAAAACTACACGAACATTCAGTAAAAGCATTGCAATGGAACTATCTTACCTGTGTTGTAGTTTCTTGTGTCACAAAACCAAGAGAAGAACAAGCATAATTTGAACTGGAGTCTTTATGACTGAGTTTGTCAATGATTCCACCTTTTGGCTCCTGATTTTCAAGCCTGAGTTCAGATTCAGACTTGAGATCAACAGAGACATCCACACCTTGTGAGCAACTACTGGAGTCTACAGAAAAGAAGAATTGGTTATCGCCAAACACCTCCAATTAACAGTAATCTGTTCCAAAACTCATTTTAAAAGGGTCCCACCTGCTTTGGTTGGTTTTGTTTTGTGTACTTGCTGGGGTTGTTGAGGGCGGCTGCTGCGTTGCAGGTTGGGTTTGGGTTTAATAAGCCTGCCTCTCTGAGTTTGAGGAGCTTTACTTTCAGTCAACTTTGATGACATCTGATCAGAGCTAAGAGAACAATTAATAGAACATGTTTACTTGCATTCCCCTTTAAAGCAAACATAATAAACCTAAAATAAAGCAGAATTTTTCAGGACATGGAAACACATCTTACCTTTGGCCGGAGGAGTCTGTCTCGAGGGTTATAAAGTTGGCAGTAGAAGCTGTTTCTTTTCTTGTGCACTGATCATCTGTGGTTTCAGTCTGATCAGTTACTGTTTGAGTTTTTGACATTTCCACCACGCCATCTCCAGATGAAGCTAAATCCGTCTCCACTCCATCATCTTTTATCATATCCTTAGTTGAATCCTTGAGTTGTTGCTCTGATGTTACAAATGAGGGCGAGTCCATAAGCTGTACTTTTAAAGGTTTACTGCCATCATCTGCCAGAGGCTTTCTGCGTGTGATTTTACTGGTTGGTCCTAAATTGGGCTTGGGTTTGACTTTGGGAAACCGCTGCCTTCTCTGGGGAATGGTTTGTTTTGCGTCCTCTGAATCTGCAACTTGTCCAACATTTGGCATCTGCTGCTCTTCAAATGTAGGCGATTCCTCTGTGCATTTATGAACAGCTTCAAGTAACTGCTCTGAAACTGGAGAAGCGCCTGTAGTTTTGTTTTGGTTTAATTTATCTGGAAGACAAGTAGAGCATGATGGTTCTGCTTCTTCTGCTTTTGTTTTGTCTGAAGAGATAGAGCTTAAGGCTGGGCTTGGAGGCTGCATGACTGAAAAATGGTCTTGTGATAATTCAGGTTTAGAAGTCACAACGTCAATTTCTTCCTGTAGTTCACTGACTGGTAATCTCCCCGCAGATATAACTAAAGCAGGACGATGGTCACTCTGATCTTGAACTGAGGCTGAATCTACAGCTGACCTAACTTGTAAATCTTTGAATCCCAAGTCAATAGTTTCTGCTTTATCTGAACAAATCTCACTTGTTTCAACATAAGACATCAGGTCTGTATCTCTGAACTTAGAAGATGTCTTTACCCATGTGGTGTCCTGCTCCATACTCTGCTCAGGTTGAACTTCAGAAAGGTTCTGGTTTTCTGATGCACTCTGATCTGGTGTTTTCAAAGTTCCTTCACCATCTGTGTTTTCACTCTCTTTTTCAGGGAAAGATGGCTGTGTTTCCACCACTGCTTTAGTTTTGTTCTCAAGTGTTGGGGTACAGCTTGAGTCTTTGCCTAAAGCCTGGTTCGCAACTCTAGGTTTAAACCTCGCAATCCTTGAAATCTGTGATAGATTTGGTTTGGGTTTCATTTTTTGTGATCGACGACTCCTCAGAGGACTAGCAGATGCAACTTCCTCCTTCTCCTGATTGAGAAGTAATTCTTCTGAAGAAGGAGGTTGGCCACTTCTGTCAGAAGTTGGATTTGACTCTTGACCATCTTTAAACTCTGAAGATTTATCTTCATCTTTGGTGACCTGCTCTCTGTAGGGCTCAAGCTGGACTTTTGATCGTTCCTGGCTCTGAATTTCAGGTTGGGGGTTGCATGTTGGTTCCACTTTAGTCACTGTCGTTTTATGAGACTCAAGATTTGGGCTAGAAGTCGAGTCCTTTTCTGTTGGCTCTTCTGAGATTTCAGGTTTAAATTCAACAGATCTTTGTGGCACATTTAGTTTAGGTGTAATCTTTAGTCGACTCCTCCTCAACTTACAAGTAGATGAAACTTGTAAATCTTGTTCACAAACTTTAGACTCTTCTACTGGTTTGACAAACATCATGGGAAGACCACTTGGTTCTTCAACTGAGGCGGAATCTAAATTTAATTCTGGGCCAACTTCAGTGCCCCCTGAATCAACTGTATTACTACATCTGCTCTCAATTGTTTCAACAGGAGATATCAAGTTTTTATCTGTCAACTCAGAATTAAATCCTTTATCATCTGTGGTTTGCTTTTCAACTAGTTCAAATTGAAGGTCTGAAAGGTTCTGGTTTTCTATGACACTCTGATACGATGCTGCCTCCTTGTTTGTATGGTCAGGTCCAACAAACGTCTGATTCTCTACTGACGGTGTCACATAGGAAGCAGAAGTCAGTGGTGGCTTTATACCTGAAGCAGATTTAGAACTTTCTGTTTGTTTGTCAGAGGTGGAAGTTGAATTTTGTTCCACTTTTGCACCTTTATTTTCAGAAAAATTAACACTTGGTCTTGAGTCTCTCTCTGCTGGTTCCACTGTGGTTTCACATTTAGACCTTGCTGTTCTTGATATCTGTGGTATGTTTGGTTTGGGTTTAAGTTTTTGTGTCCGACTCCTCCTCGACTGATGGGCAGACGCAACTTTATGATCTTCTTTATCAACTGTTATCTCTTCTACAGGTGCATTAAAAGTCACAGGATTGTCACTTTGTTCTCGAGTTTCAGCTAAATCTACACTTGACCTTTGTGGAACATATGGTTCTGTGACAGCTGGGTCAGTTGTTCCAAACTCAGGTGTGAGGTTTTCCTCTGCTAACTGAGAGGTTAACCTGGTTGTCTGCTCTCCAATAAGCTGGACTTTGGAAAAACCCTGGTTTTCCATGGCCCTCTGATCTGATGTTGTCACATCTAGTACTGCTTGAGTAGCACATTGACCGTGTGCCTTTATTTGCGTTGCGCCTTTAAAATGAAGAGATGAAGTTTCTGTCTGTGCGAGGCATTCAGGTTTCAGAGCTGAAAGAGAGCCTTTCTCCACAGTCTCTTCACTGACTTGAGATTTATTCCTTGCAACTCTTGGTGTTTGTGTTAAATTTGGTTTGGGTTTGATTTTTGGTAATCTATTCCCCTTGGGTTGGCTGGAAGTTGCAACTTCACCTTCTCCCTTTTGACTGACAGGTAGATTCTCTGCAGGTAACGTACATGGAGGATGTATGTTGCTGTTTTCTTGGATTGGGTCTGAAAGTGTGGCTGGCTCTCGACCTTCTGTCACAGCTGCGTTAGATGTTTCACCATCAATAGTTTCACCATGATGTATGAAGCCTTCATCTCTAGAATCGGGTGTTTTTGTATCTGTGGTGGACTGATTCCTGCTGGGTTCAAACTGAGGTGCAGACAAAGAATGAGTTTGGGTAATAGATGAATTAACAGATATTGTTTCTGATGATTTGACTTTAGTAGAAGAAATGTTATCTTTTAGGAATGAAGGAGTAGAGTCTGTTGTTTCAGGGCTTACTTCTTCAGCTGTTGTTGTCTCATTCCCTTCAATTTTCTGTTCTTCAGGAGTTTTCTTTTGAGATGTTGGTTTTGCAGTCCTTAAAGTTTGCCCAAGTGTTGGTTTAGGCTTTACTTTAGAAAAGCGTCTTGTTTTAGGGGGGCTCTCTGGATTTGATGTTGCTTGAGGGGCAGGATCTGTATCACACACAGTTTTCAGCTCACCACGTGTCTGATTACTGGTTTCAAATTGAGACAAGTCATCATTGTCTCTTTCACGGCTTTGTGCAGAAGGAACAATGTCTCCTTCAGGATGTCTGGATGCATTTATGCCATCTGTTGCTTCCTCTGCAATTAAACATTGTACATTCTAACTCAATCCAAGACATACAAACTTCTGTACCATGATAAAGATTTGTTTGTGATTTGTGTTTCTCCTACCTGTTTTACCATCTTCTGTGGTCATTTCACTTTGTGCTGTCTGAGAGACATGAGTCATATTTCCAATGGTCAGAAGGGTTTGAGCAGCCTCATTGTAGCTTTCATCTGGGGAATCTTAAAAAAAAAAGATACCACCAAAATATTACATTAAAAATATTTAAAGAAAAATTCTCCAGAGACTGCAAAGAATGTATTTACTACATACCTTCTGTGTGTTCTGCTGACAGAAAGTCTATAACATCCTGTAATAAAAACAGATATTAGTGACATCAAACATTTATTTAAAATGAAATCAACAAATACATGTGTGCAGCTACACCGGGCAAACTTCTTGATGGCATATATTTCTCTATAGCCTTTTAAGTTGATGACATGGCAAAAAAAAGAAAAAATAAACTTTTAAGGATTTATTCCAGCTCAGACTGAACCTCACTGATAAATGCAGGATGTTAGTACATGTGTGTAAAATCTTTACATTTTTTTTTAAATCTTTTTTCAACTGGTCCATGTAGTAAAGTGGTTGTAAAGCTTGAAACCTAACTTGGTAAACAGCTGAGTTCAGTGATTTCAATAAATAAGTTATATAGCATGATGTTCTTTTTTTAATCCTCACTTATCCACGTCAGTATTTCTTTTTTCTTTTTAAGGGTAGCACCTCTTTACAGCTGCTGGACCCAGGGCACCTGTTCTCCCTGTTGTGTTGTGCCTACATCTCTTGAATGGGTTGTTCCAAACTGTAATTTCCCTTCATGGGATCAATAAAGTATCATTCATTCATTCAAATAACCACACTACTAAGTGACACCAGTACATGTGAAACAGTAAAAAGGGAGTCAACCAGAACTTTAAATTATTTTTATAGATCAAGGCTATCAACGAAATTGATCAGGAGGCTACAGTTGCTGGAAGCCAACAGCTCAGGGGCTGGACATACACCAAATAAGTAAATACAATCTACTTTAATTGTTTTCTGGTTTAAAATCCAGTTTAAAATAAATTAGATTTTAAAAAACAAAGTCTATCATTTTTTATTATTTCATTTTATATTAAATAAAGTCAGTGGAGAGCAGACCGCATTGCATAGTCCTGTCATAGATCATCTATACCTTCAACCAGTGGTGGGCACCAGCCCGCTAAAGCGCAAATCCGCTAATTGCGGATCTAAATATTTTGTTTGCGCTTTAGTGGTCTTACTAATTTTTATAATTCATAAGCGGATTTGCACTTTCTAAAATTAAAATGCAGTACCATTAATAACTAATTATCTACCAGTCGTCATTATCTTGAACAGCGGAAGGTATGGCTATCAATGAATCACAACACAGGTAATCTTTCCAACAGCACCCCTCCCAGATAAACACACTTATTGGGAAGGTATACATCCTGCTGACTTTTTCTCTCGGTCATGGTTCTCATTTCCCACAATGCTTTGTGTCTCTTTACGTAGCAGGAAGGCAGTGTTTAGTACTCCCTTTCCCAGCAAAAACAGTTAATATTTGTAATCCATACTAAAATTTTGTATGTATTGATTTATTTTACTTTACAATCGGAGCTACTTTAAAAAAAGGTTTAAATGCTGGAGCTCAATACTTGACGTAATTGGTCGAAGCAATCGGCCAACAGGGTTAGAGACGCAGAAATGATTTAAAGATGTTTTGCTGGTGAAGACAAGACATCTAGTGGTCAACTGGAGCAACTACATGGAAAACTTTAAAATCCAAGCTCTTATTTTGAAGGGAAGACAGTTTCTTGTACTCTGTGCTTTCGTTTCCCATCACAAATCAAATCCGTCATGTACCCAGAATGCATCGCTTCAGTTTTCCAATAAACAGTTTTAAAATTGCTTTATTGATGCTTCTTTAATGAAAAATCTACAACAAACAAAAGATAAAGATAAAGAAGCAGCCGAACTAGCAATCCTCAACAACTTTTTAAAGAGTCAGCCGAACTAGCAATCCTCAACACATTCAACAACTTTTTAATTTTTACACCAGGAGCCAAAGCTCTGTTTCAGGAAATCACTTCACCAGCAATCGGCTGTTGTAGGATTAAGCTGTACAAGGGTTCATACACCGCTAGTTGGCAGTGTTGTACATATATTGCACATGAATTGTTGCCAACTAGTAAGTGTCAAATTGAACTTGCGCTTTAAAATTAGCTTCCGCTAGCTTTTCTATGGCACAAGCATTTTTGAAGTTGCGGACCTAAATATTTTCATGAACGCTTTAGAAATTGCGGAACTATTTTTTGGGTTAGCGCTGCCCACCACTGCCTTCAAC